CCCCCCTTTGGTTGGTATCTCTGGGGGGGTTTTGGTGTGAGGGATGGGGTGGGGTAAATGCATAACAGGAAATATTAGCTCATTGTGTGCTCAGTTTTCAGGAAGAATAATACATCTATGAAATAACATTATAGATTAATATTATTCCTAAATTAATTAATTTCTAATGCAGCAACAATTCTTCTTTTTGCTAAGAGTGCTCCCCCTTGCTTTCTACCTCGTCAATTTGCCAAGTTGTAAAATTATAGCTATTAAACAAATATAACAGATAGGCCAATGAGTTGTTTTTTGATTACCTTCTAAATGCGATTGGGATTTGCTATAAAGATTTTGTCTATTTTTTCCTTAATATTACTGAATAATTGTATGCATTGACGTAAACCTCAACTTCCAGGGCTTTCGTATATCGTTGGTCTATATTGCTGCCGTAGACCATTCAATAATAGGCTACACACTCGGCTACAATAAATGTATGGCAGAATTAGGCCCACTCTGCTACTACTGTTGATGTCAAACAAACAGAGCAACCAGACTAGCTGATCTATTCGTAATAATAAGAGAGGTGAGCCCTGTTTTCGAGCTGTGAAGCTACAACGTACATCTAGATCTAATCTAGATCTAGAATCTAGATCTACATATCTATTATGATTTTTTTCATGTTTTACAATTGTAATTATCGTTGACCTGCCTGAACGTGAAATATGTTCACCCCTTAACCGTGAAGAGCAATTGCAACTTGAATTTCATCATTGGACACTCAATAATGACAATCACAATGTGACAGTGTCCTTCTCTTTATACTTTTAGATCTAGATCTACATCACTTTTATTATTCTCAGTTCTGCATCTAGAATATAGATCTAGAATCTAGATCTAGATCTAGATCTTGATCTTGTTCAGAACGATGGACATGATAATATCTTTACTTTCTACGTTCTTCTGTAGGCCTAGGTCTAGATCTAAATCTAGATCTAGATCTAGATCTAGATTCTAGATCTAGATCTAGATTTGTTAATTGGATTTATCAGTGCCCAGTTCAGTGCCATGCAATATTCGTGTTGTAGTGGGGAGACCAGCAAGCAAGCAGACAGGTGCCTGTTTAGTACTCTTTAGACTACTGTTCAAAGTCAAAGTTGAAATATCATGTAGTATTAGTATTGCAGAAGTCTGTCTCTTTGTCACAGAGTAAACAAAGTTTTAATTTTGATTGTTTGATTGTAGTTTTGTAGAATTGTTACTTTTGTATTTGTATTGAGATTGTTGTTTGTTTGTTTTTTAGGGGGGGGGGGAGAGTTTAACTCATTCGCTACACCAAGCCGTGACGAACGACCACCTTGAGACATAGAGTAGAACAGAGGGGTAGAGGTAGGGTTTGGGGTAGGGGTAGAGGTAGGGTTTGGGGTAGGGGTAGAGGTGTTAGGTCTCTTCTTTATTGTAAGTGTTTGTTTGGGTGATCGCTTGTTATGGAAGTCTTTCCTGTAATGGGGTATAGATCTACATGCTAAATATTATAAAACTGTTAAAACTGTGTCAAAGTGAAAGAGGGAGTAGTTTATAAAATTTCTCTAAAAAACACTTCCAAGTCAAAATAAATCGATTTGGATTCGTAAAACATTGTATTATAATCATAATTAATATATAAGCAGTAAACAATGATCCTGCAATCTGACCGGGGTCTAGCTGGGACCGGGCAAGTTTCACTGGGCACTCCCATCGTCCTCATGGGGTTATAGAGCTAATTTGAGACAGATAAAGATATATTATATATTATCTGTGAGATTTGAGGGTTAGGGGGTGAACACAATGTGGAAGACAAAACCTTTTGTTTCTAATGGCACTTCCAACTTTCTAGCACACTGACCCTTTGAAGCTACGTCAGAAGAAGCAATTTCATCTAAAATATTAACGATATAATGTATACAGGGATGAGTTGCTGGATGTCGTTGGGGAGTGAAAAAAAAATAATAATCTACTTTGTTCAACTTGACCTTCAGGATCACACCCTTTAGAATCAAGTAAAATTCTGAGTTTGTTTTTGTCCATATTTCAAATAATAATATTGATATTTTTTTAAAGTGAATGTGACCTGATAGATTCATCTTGTAAATTTCTCTGAGAGATTAAAAATTATTTTTTTTATTTCAGGTGATGCGAAAAGAGCAACCTTCAACCATGTATGACCGCTGATCCACGTTCATAAAACTTCAGTTGCCAAAATGGATGTTGATCTCATTCAGCTGAAGCTGGTTGAAAATTATAGGTTTCAGATTTTATCATTTATTGCCTTAGGAATTGTTTATGCTCGTGGAGCTTGGAATGTATTTGGAGTGCTATTCCTTGCTGCTGGTGCAGGTCATACATGTGACTATGACAGAGAAATTGTTACAGTGGAATCTAAAGATAGTAATCAACATGTGACTACAATCTTCAATGCCAGCAGTAATTTCACAGTGACGACTGTTTCATGGGGCCTTGATGGTAAAAAATCGAAGGACCCCTTGATCGTACCTAGAGAATGTGATGTGATTGTGGCAGGGGAAAATGGCACCAACTTAAGTATGCCTTGTACATTTGGCTGGGTTTATCGAAGTGAGTTCGAATCTACTATTGTTTCTGAGGTGAGTATAGCACTGATAAAATTATAAATTTAATTCCAGATTTTCGTTACTCATTAAGATAAAAATCATTTGTTGGTTTCACCACTTTTTTATTTCTACCTTTTAAAAAAAATTGTTTTACTCAAAGTTTGTGCCTTCTTGTTTTGATCTGTCAAATGAAATTCCAGAGTTGTTAGTTTGCTGATAACAACGTGAACTGCCTTTTTATGGCTAATAATTTTTGTTTAATTGTTGTTTTTTAATTTTTATGCCACTGAGATTCAGCAGCTGTTACTAGGATTGTTGTCCTATTGCCTTGTTTTCTTTTTGGATTCATTATATAATACACTTCGTTTAAACTTATGTCTCAACACATTTCATTGCAGTGGGATCTTGTTTGTGTGAGGGCTTACCTCTCAGAGCTGTCCACAACATTGTATATGGTGGGGTCCATGGTTGGAGCCTTCCTGATATCTCCATTATCAGACAAGTTTGGTCGGCGTATTGTTCTGCTGCTTTGTTTGATGGCTCAAGCTGTGGTGGGTGCCTGTGTAGCACTATCCCCAAACTATGCTGTTTTTACCACCCTGAGGTTTATAGTGGGGTTCTTCAACATGGTGAGTTAAGTTAAGATATAAAACACTTGACTGTTGGTATTGTAAGAACAACTTTAGAATTTTTTCAAGTTTCTAAGATAAATTAATTGACCTTGCAAATGGGATATTCGAGTGTGACCTTTAATGTTTTGTTTCTGTCTTCAAAGGAATCTAACATACAAATGTCACTGTACTGTAACTATAATGACCTAACCGGGCTTGACATGACTATTTCTCCTCTGCTGGGAATTAATTCTTGCTAAGTTTGGAGAAATTTTTTTAAGTTTCTAAGGTAAATTGATTGAGCGTGTAAATGGGATATTTGCGTATGACCTTTAATGTTGTTTTGTCTCTTTCTCCAAAGGAATCTAACATACAAATGTCACTGTACTGTAATGACCTATAACCCTGCTTACCATGACTATTTCTCCTCTGCTGGAAATGAATGCTTAAAAATTATAGGGAGCAAAGAGGAGCCTCTTATGCTTTAACTACAAAGACCGTTCTTTAATTGCCCTAAGTAAGAACCACCTTGTTATGTTGCCAATAGCATTGAAGGGTATTCGTGAAATGATAATTTTTGGTAGTCTATGAGGCAGAGACAAGTCAATCAAGTGATGAACTGTCAAATGGCAAGGCAGCATGACATTGACCACAACATGCCGAACACATACTGTCAGTGCTGCACACAGGTGTTATGTTCTGCAAAACAACAGATTTCAGTGTTGAAGGGTGTGGTTGCTCATTCTATTTTATGCACTATTCATGCTGCCACTTTTAGAAAATGGAATAGGACAGAAAAGCACCCTTCTTGAGATAGACGATAAAAGCTTGCAGCATGCACCCATGCCTGAAGAAATGAGAATGTATGTTGGCAGCCAGAGTTGAAACTAAATCTCTAGTTATGCAGATCATTGTATTTATTTAACTGAGTTAAGCAGTGGTCAGTTGTCAAAGGGATTAATTGGTCAGATTGGGGGTATTTTACAACCTCATTTAAATGATTGCATCAAGACAGATAGTACTGACTTATTATGATCTATTTTTGACTCCAATCTCAATACAACACTGGTTTAGAAGGATTTGAGAGTTTTTAGTGTTACAAGGTGTGACAGTGCCTCACTGAATGACTTTTTTGCCTTTCAGATAGACGTGCTGAGCCTTTTTCTTGAACTGACGTCTTTTTTTCATTTGCACTAATATTCTAGGTGGTTCTGATCTGCTGGTCATGTTCTGATCGGTTCAAAGTACGTTTGATCTTGCTTTTTAAATTAATGTGCAAACACACAGAGATGTGCGCACATACATACACACTCACATACAAGTATAACCATACATAACATAATTCACATATGTAGTTCACTTCATGAGCTTTATGGCTTCTCTTTTTCTTACTTTGCTTAGGGCATCGCTTTGTGCACTTACGTGATGATGACAGAAATATTTCCAGCCCAGCACAGGGCAATCCCATCTTGTGGCTTCCAAATTTTCTGGGCATTTGGTGTTATGTTGACTGCTCTCTTTGGATTTGTTGTTCGAGATTGGCGGCACCTACAGTTGGTGTTCTCTCTGCCCAACATATTATGTGCTGTATTTGTTTGGTAGGTGGGAATTCTTAAACTGATTTTAGTTACTGAATGCCTTTTTACCAAATGTTAATGATGATATAATATTGCTTTTTTTTTTTCAAAGTAAATTATTTTGAATAAATTGCTTATACTTTTTTCAGAATGCTTGTAAGAGAGTTGTTAGTTGTGAGTGAGAGTGCCACTTCATATAAATTGTAATTTTTTAAGATTGCTGGGTTTTTTTGGAGGATAAAATAAGACCTTTAGGAGATTTGTTTTGTAATGACATATGATAATGACAGTCAATGTATAACATAATGACACATACAGATAATGTAATGTAGGTAATGTATGTCATCACACATGCTTTGTCTGAGGCTTTAAGTTCTAGTTCTTCTAGTTCTATATTCTAATGATAGTTATTTTTTTCCTGCCTTACTCAGGATTATGCCAGAGTCTCTTCCATGGCTGATCTCTCAAAACAAGTTGTCCAAAGCGCAGTCGGTGATTGCTCGAATTGCCAGATTCAACAATTTGGATATCCCTGATGACTTTTACATGTATGAGGCCTCACAGGTCAACTCCACAAATGATCAGGAAGACATTCAGTGTAACTCGCCATCCTCTCGCTGTGCAGACCAACCCCTCCTGTCTGAAGAACTTTCTCAGCAGGAAGCTGTGGGGCTTTTGTCAGAGGGTTCAAGTCATGAGCTGAGGGATCGGGAAGCAGTCGCAGATAAACAAAACGGGCACGCACAAGCAGGAGATGACACAAGCCAGACTGGGAGAGTGACCACACCAGAGCGCATTGTTGATTCACCCGCCATAGACCCAGAGGTTCAGATTATAGCTGAGTCCACTCCAGGGAATGCCGGCTTTCAACAAAGCACAAGAATCAGCCGTACAAGGGAACTGAAGAATGTCTTCACTCTCTGCACTAGCCCCAGAATCAGGCTCTACACCATAATAATGTTTTTCCTTTTGTAAGTACTGTTGCCGTTGTATTTTCCATCAACTTTGCCTTATTTTAAAAGTTTTTCCAGTATTTTCTTTGATTGCTCAAGCCATGGGTATCTTGTGGAGGACTGAAAATTTGAGTACGTCTTTCTTCTTTCTGACATGATTCTATTTCTTGTGTCTTGTCTCTCCTTTTTCATGTATGTTGTGTGAAAAGAGTTTTTCTTCATTTACTGTCATGCAAATGAACGATTCTTTTTTTGATGAGTGTCCATCAGTATTTGGTGATTTGCAGCAGTTCATTTAAAGTATCAAATACAGTTTTTACGCATGTGGATGGGGGATCTGCAGTCCTAAAGAGAGCACAAGGTCATGGGTTATTTACAAATAATACAATTGCCATTGTGTTCAAAGAGGGAATTGTGATATTGTAAGTTTTATTTGATATCTTATTATATAGTTAGTGTACTCCAACCAAGATATGTTTTTTATGGTACTTTTCAGTTTTGTGAACAGCCTTAGCTATTTTGGGATCTCCTTGAGCACACCTGTGTTACATGGCAACCAATTCTTCAACCTGTTTTTGCTTGGAGCTGTGGAGATACCTGCTTACGTGATCTGTATTCTTGTTTGTGAACGGTAAGCCATAAGACCCGTTTATTTTATATCTAGAATCACAAATCACGGATACTGTATTATCATAGGGGGAGCCTGCCAAGTTGAGACCTCTCTGGCAACATTTAAAAAAATTTCTTAGGGAGGAGGTTAAATGTTTACACTCATACTGAAGTCTGTCGTGTCAAATTGAACGGTTTCCAGAAAGGAATTATTCAGAAGGACAAAAGTGTTGGTCTTGAGGGGAGGGGGGGAGATTAAGTCATGTCATGGCATAGTGAAAGTTTGTAAACAAGTGTCAAGTTTAGCAGTATGTAGATAGGTGCACATGATACTTTAGATTGAGGACATTTTTTGTAACACTTATTTATGGATATGAGGTTTTTGTATGGATTTCAAAGGAATATATGAATAAATGCATTTTTTCAAAAATGTACTGATTATTGGCAATTTTTACTTCTCAAATCAAATTTGTTTTCATATACCCCCAGCGTTGGTCGGAAAGTACCTCTCTGTGTGTTCTTGTTGACATGTGGGGTCATGAATATAACAGCAATGATGATATCGGATGAAGCCTGTAAGTAAAGTTCTAAGTAGCTGTTTGTCTGATATTTTTATACTCAGCCATATACTTTGCCTTTTCGTAAATATCTGCAGTCAGGCCATAAACCATAATTCGTCCTGTAATATCAGGGGTTGTTTGAGCTCTTTACGTGCTCAGTAATGTTTTGTGACAAGTTTTTCTTTGGATGAAGACCAGAATATAAATAAAACAAGATAAATGATCCATTGCTTCTTGAGAAACAAAACAGTGCATGCTGCTGCAATCTTTTCCAGTTTTGTTAGTCTGTTGTTTTTGGTTCTTAAGTTTTCATTTTTCCGTTTTAGTTTGAATAAGTAAAAGCTTTCACAAACTGTTTTGTTTTTGTCTTTGAATGGATTGGGAACAAAGATATACTGACTTCAACATAAGTTAAGGACCATTTGCAAACATTCTGAGTGGTCTTCTTGGGTCGACCTGCACGTGGGTGTTCTTGGACTGATCCAGTGGCTTGATGGCGCTGCCTCACGCTGACAGTGTCAGAGTGTGACACTGCAAGTCTTCTGGCAACTTCTCGGGCTCCAACTCCATCCTGCGGCCATGCCATAGCTCTGGCACGACCAAAGTCTCTCTGCATTCATCTTGATGCCGTGTTGATGCGATACTGGATTTTGTGCAAACGACGGCTTATATTGCCACCAAAGTGTGTACAGTTTGAAACCGTACGTCCGTTTTTGAGGTGCACCAAAATTTTAAACTGAGGAATATCCGTGGTGTCGCACACAAGTCGATAAAAAACAGCAAATCTGGCTAAACTTCCTTTAGGATTTCCGTGCTGCACATGTTGGTTTTGCCCCCTTAGGAAGCTTTGCAGTACGCATTAGTAACCCATTAACACTTTCAAAGAAAAAAAAATTTGAAACTTTCCTTGCGGTCTTTTTTTTTCTTCGTATTTTGAAAAAATCAGGGCTGTCTGTCAAGGTGGTCCTTAACTTATTGAAGTCTGTAGTATTCATTGCCATGTGGCTCAAGGATACCTTTAATGTGATCAAAGTAAGCCATGGACTGTTTTGTTGGGTTTTTTTTAAGGTTTAGTTTGGGAATTGTGGAAAATTTCATGTTCACCAATAAACAAAAATTTTAGAATTACTGAAGACAAAAATATTATTCAGAAAATGGAAATAACTCTAGATTGTTATCGTTTTCAAAACTGCGAACCAGTTGAATTTTGAAATCTTTCATTCAATGTGTTTTTACTGTCAATGAAAATAAAGTTGGTAGTATTTCTATTGCAGCCGAAGGATTGGCTATGGTGAAGCCTTTTATAAATAATATGTCCTTGTAAAGTCCAGTGTCTACACCAAGGAATAAAAAAATCAATCTCAGAAAGAAATTGTTCAGAAGCCAACGGTGTTGCCATTGTTTACACGTCATTGCTAGTCCAATGTTCTATGTGGTAGTAAGGTAGAAGTCCTGTGTGCTGTTTATAGTTGATGATGTGCTTGTTTTGACAGCTCATCCTGTGTTGTTTGACATTTGTATACAAACTCTTTCCCCAGCCTCGGGCATGAGTGGTGTGAAAATTGGTTTTGTCATGCTGGGAAAATTTGCCATTACAGGCGCCTACACAACTGTGTATTTGTACTCTGCTGAGATCTTCCCAACATGTATCAGGTAAAAATCCTCTTTTTTTTTTTGTGGAAGGTGTTTTACGGTGCTTGCAACAGAATAAGGTCAAGTGTGTGGGACACATTTAACATTTTCAGTTGGTAGGAAATTTTGAATTTTACCCGGGTGGCGGCCGAAGCCTACTCTTATGGATTTTGTATCACCAAGGGATCTTAAACTTGCGCAATTTGCACACGGGACATCCAAGATTTTTCTCCCTTATCTGAGAAGGCTAGGTGTAGATCTTACCTACCATAAGATCAGGGGTGTGGCTGAAAGACAGCAGTAAGAAGGAGCCAAGGAGTAGCATTAGAAAGGTTGTAGACAGAGTCAGAACGCCAGAGGAGGGGACTAAAGAGGTGAGGGGATAACATTTTCCTTTTGAAGATTCATCTGCTCTGGAAACTCGGCCCAGTCTGACCTGCAAGCCCCGTACATAGCTCTGTCTTTTAAAGAATGAAATAAGCAGGGTGACTGCCAGGCCCCGGGAATCCCCCGGAAATTTGAAAAAAAATCGCCGAGATCGGGGAATGCCCTGGGAATTTGAGGAAATCTGTAAATTGCCCCGGGAAAGACCCGGGTAAATACATAAAAGGTCTCGAACATTTGAAAACCAAATGGGATAATGTCCTTGGGTTCTGGGTTCATTTTTGCCTGTGGCAATTGAGATATTCATTCCACTTTTCCCGGTCTGAGAGTACGCTTCACGCGAACTGGCGGCTATGGCGGCAAGCGGAAGTGTATGTGTGATACCAAAGCTCGATCTACTTTCGCTTTCGTTACCACCCAGAAATTTGCCGGTAGCAGTCAGATTAACGCAAGATTTGTAATACACAGTTTGTGCTTTACAAACGCTGTATCGCCGTTTAAATAAATAAATATTTGTCTTGTGCTGTCACTTGGGGGGGAAAAGTTATAATACAAGCGTCTTATCGGGCTTGCCTGCCATCGTGACCGGTCAGTGAACCTGTGGGTTTGCGTCACATTGTGAGTACCGGGATCATTGGGGTCACCAAAGTTCCTTCCAAGTCTGTGCACTGCGAAATATAGGGCTCCGGAATGGGAGGATTTATTGATTTTTTAAAAAGGTACAGTCGGGGAAGGGGTGAGGTTGAAGGCAACACTGGATGACTAAAATGGAGCTTGGAAGCAAATTTCAGTACTTAGAATTTTGATTAGTACTAGAGCTTTCTGCAAAGCGCGCATTGGTGCAGGCCTTGTGTGGAATTGGGATCCATCATATTCATACCTTGTAAGCCGTACTTTTTAACCAAAACAAGATTCATTTTTATATAGTTTATATAGGCAAATATGATGAGGGGAGTAAGAACAGACTGAAATGCATAAGTCACACAGTATCCCAGTGCCACGCTGACATGTTGTTGACTGGATATAATGTACCTACATGCTTGTGTGTGTGTGTGTATGTATGTATAAATGGAGCACGCGCTGTCATTGTTATGTAACATGCCCCTGGAAAATGGATGAGCCCACTGGGAAATTGAGAAGCCGGGTTGGCAGTCATCCTGAATAAGTCAGTATGAAAATCATAATCATCAATGCCTTCCACCCCTGGCAGGGTATAGGCCACATACAAGCTCCTTCCATTTATCTCTGTCCTGGGCCTACCTTCCAAGCTCGTTCCAAGTGAGCTTCATCTCTCTCATGTCCCTTTCCACCCATCTCCTCCATGTGTCCCATAGCCTACCCCTGCCTCGTGCTCCCTGTGGGTTCCACTGCAGTGACTGTCTTGTGATGTTTCCGCTGGGCTTTATTTTACAAATTTGCAAAAAGTCAACGAAATCAAGACTTTAGTCACTGTTTGAGATCTTCATTGTCATGTTACCCACAGCACCCTATCATCATAAACAGAAGCAGTTTTGTCCTGATACATTCAGACTTTTCACTCATATGTGTATTGCGGAGGAACAGTTTTTGTTTGAATTCATATAAGATTTCTAGTAGTTTGGGCATGATACAGGTACTGTTGACTTGCCAGTAAATTTGTAGCAGATTTAGTCTGGTCAAAAAAATTTTGAAACGTAAAATAAATGTCAAATATGCTGGTTTGCAAAATCCATACATGACATACCATTAAAAAAACCCAGCAAATATTTCTCATTTTGCTGTCCTTGATCGTCGGGGTTATTTTTTTTACTGTTTTGGGGATTTGAAAGTACACATGTGTACATCTCATAGAGCTGCAAAAAAGATAATGTTGGTTTCTAATAATTTCACATATTCTTTCATCGTTTTCAAATTCAAAGTATTTACTGTCTGTGCGTCCTTGCTGATTTCTTGATGTTGAGCTTAGAATCAGAAAGATTTTATTAATTAAAATGCTTATTGCATTTTTTCTCTTTTTTGTCTTCCTTCAGGAACCATGCTGTAGGGATCTCGTCGTGCTTTGAGAACTTTGGAAGCATAGCTGCACCATTCATTGTTTTCTCTGTAAGTTTGTTAAGCGGGTGGCTAAAAGTGTGGTAATTTTAGCATTCTTAAACCTCCCGCAGGCTCACTTACTTATTTTGGTACAGACTTTTCATTTCCCATCTTTATAGGGTAGCTTTGCTAGTGCTTAATAGCCTTTTCCAATGTTGGCTATTCTATAGATATACGAGGGCTGTCCCACGGAAAACCGGAAAAGGTCCGTAAAAGCAAAAATCTTTGTCCTATTATAATAAAACTGTAACACATCATACCTCAACATGTGCTTTATTTCTCAATGTAATCACCATCCCGCTGGACACATTTTTCCCATCGATGGATCTGGGAGAAGATACCCTCCCTGAAGAATTTTTCGTCAAGGGATTTCAACCAATCGTTCACGGCTTCCACGAGGTCTTCGTCGTCGGTGAATCGCTGTCCAGAAATATGGCGTTTCATTGGTTCAAAAAGGTGATAATCTGACAGGGCCAAGTCAGGACTGTGAGGGGGGTGTAGTAGAACTTCCTAGCCGAACCTTTGGAACCAGTCTTTCGTGACGTTTGCGGTGTGTGGCGTTGTGCTGCCATGCTGCAAAATGACCCCGCTGGTCTTTTTCGGCCCCAACCCATCAAGCAGAGACCTTTCAATAGTGCAGCTCATCAAACTCTATCCTATAGACAGTCGACTTTGAAATGTTTAGCGACTCGCAAATTTCGCGAATTTTTAGGCGCCTGTCTGTTTGATAAAGTTCGTTAACGCGACTCTTGTTGTCCTCAGTCTTGGCAGAAAAACGAGATCCTGGGTAAACTTTGTCATCGATATCGGAGTGCCCGGCTTTGAACTTACTACATCACTCATATACCTGTGACTTTGCCATTACTTTCTCCCCATAAACTGACTTTATTTCAGTGTGTATTTCTAGAGGTTTGAGACCTTTTGCGGTCAGAAACCGAATAACAGACTTCACTTCTACCCTTGACCAATTTTCCAAGGGGGTAGCCATCTTTTGAGAACTGCTGTGCTCATTTGGTTTGTGCGATTCTCATGGTGCTCAATCGGGAAATTTCTAAATGATTGTTTTACAAGTGTGCGTTTACAGAATGTGAAAATATTGAATAGTTTTCAAATTACAGCCAAATTCCGGTTTTCCGTGGGACAGCCCTCGTATATAGGTCTCACAATGCGCAGGAATCAGGCGCTCGTCAATTTTTGGACACATGGAGTTTTTGGTATTATCTTAAAGCCCGTTCATTTACCTTGCTTTTGATGGAAAACATACCCATTTATTTTTAGTAGAAGTTGAAATATTTGAAAGTGAAGAAGGTTTGGGTCACCTGGTGTCAGAGGTAAAATTGGCAAGAAAAGGGCAGCGAAAGTTTGGTGACTTCCAAAGGTGTAGTGTACTTGGAAACTGCAAATTTACATTTTTTGTGCCTTTGATCAACATTTTTCAGTAAAATCCACTCTGAAATATGTTGACGTTTTTTTTTATGATGGACATAAAAGGTTCTGAGCCCAAAACAAAAAGCCTGAGGAAAATTGCCCAACAGGTAGAAACATGTCTGTTTCTTCAATGTCATTTCTTACACGAGCGCGTAATTTCACCACATATTGTATTTTTGAGAGAATTGTGAGTCAAGGCTGTCCTCAGATGTGAGTGAAAAAGACAGGCAAGGTGGTGGTAGTATAACATGTTTGCCAAGTTTCCCGCCAAAGGCACAGACTTCATGTTGCTTTCAGCACGGTCATGTCTGTGATGTACTGATGTACATACTGGTGCTGTAGATCTAATTTTACTATTGTGTCGGATGTTTTGTTGTAGACATTGTTTTATAAAAGATGATACCAAACAGGTCAATCGGTGAAGTGTAATTAAGAAAAACCTTTTCTCACATGAAAAGTACTCATGATTCCTTTAAATTTGTCTTGATTCTTCTTTCATCAGCCATTAGAAGCTGATGAATGCAGTTAAATGCTACCTGTGGGTTTTATGACAAGTGCTCTCATCAAACCCTACCACAATATGCTGAAGGCCTAGGAAATAGTCTCACTAACAAGGCAATCCCCAATGTCCGGATCGGATGCGGGAACAACTTTTTTCTTTGCTCTCATCAAAATGCTTTGTTCATCCCTTGTTAATGAAATCAAAGGAATAGAGTCGAATGGTGCCATTGCCTCCTAATGACTGATGTAAACGATATCTTTTGACTCTGAGACAGCAAACTGCCACAATGTCACCTCAAAGCTGGCACATCTGTTACAAGAGGACGAAACAAATAAATACTGTGCTTAATGTTGCCACTTACACCATGAACTCGCCCACTTTCTTTCAGGGCTTGGTAGTTTGATGACGGGAATCACTGAATGGATACTATGTTTTTATTTCCATGATTACTGGATGATCTTTCAATGAGAACTGAATGAAAATGTTAAATATGCAGAAACTCCAGGTCCATCCATGATAAAAGTACTCAAGATGCATCATTTCGTGATGAGTTAAATAATAATTCACTGCTATCGCTGAAATGTAATGTGCCAGAGGATTAAAATCTCCTATTGCTGTGAGCGGATTCATACAATGGGTTATAGGCTCTGCACCATCGATACACGGTCCATCATGTTCACAGGCTGTAACACTGACAGGATTCTGACATTGTCTCCGTGATTGCCCTTATTACCCTGACAGGATGATGCTTAGTGACTGCAGACAATACAAACCTGTTTGAACGGTCCCACAGAGCTTCAAGTTCTGTTTGCGTACATGGATATTTTGTGAAGTACTTCTGTTCCCTGCTTGTAAATAAAGTTGGAGTTGAGGGTTGGGGGGGGGGGGGGGGTGTTGTTCTTGCAAAGTCATTTTGCATGTTATATGCGTGGCATATTAAAAAAACCCACATTTTTAGTTAACTTAATATCAAAATATTGAAAGTTTGTAGTTTTATATGAGAATGTATGTGTGCTCTTTACTTTTTTGTAAAACTTGTTTTTTTTTCACTATTTGCAATTGACCTCCATTTACTTTCTATGTTTTTCAGGCTAAGTCGCATCCAGAATTCCCGATGATATTGTTTGGCATAGTGTCTGTTATTGGAGGACTAATGACCCTCTTCATGCCAGAGACCCATAGGCGGCCCCTTCCTCAAACCATCGAAGAAGTCGAGTCTTGGGGCATCTGCAAAAGAAGACGCACAGAATAAAAACATATAATTCTTTTGACCCATTTGACGTGGGTTTAAAAAAAAAAAATTGACATGGAGTGTTGTTTTTAGAATATTATGTGGGTTGTTGACCTACAAGTCTTTTATTTATCATTTGAGATTGCAGTAGAAACCTTTTATGGATTCCAAAGTGAGACAAAGAGTTGTTTTTTTAAGCTATACTTTGAGTGTTCCTCTAGATGATTACCCCCCCGTGGCAGTGCCACTGACTGTAGTATTTTTAGGCCATTCCCAAAGGGGGGACATTTCTCATTCAAGCACAGTAAAATTGTAAATGGGCTGATTCACCATGTCACGCTCATAACTGTGCCTGATCTACAACAGGGAACTGCTGCTTTTTCTTTCCTAATCTTTACTATTGTCATTTTCCTTTACTTCTTTTGTATGTTTGTCACTCTCTTGTGACCTGCTATTTCCGGGGTGCCTTGATAGTCGAAGCAGACCTTGTGCTGTTGAAGCTAGAGAGGTGAGCAGAGCAAGTCTGATTCCCTGTAAAGACTTCTCTGTTGACACCCACCCCTTGGCGCTCATATGACCTAATGCAGTTGCGAGCGCTGTAAAAACCTCTACTATAAAAAAAAACCCAACTCTAGATGATTTTTTAAAATTGTGTAAGTAAAAGGAAAAGTGCCTGGTTGGCAGCAACGAAAGGCAAGAGGATGTACTAGAACTCTAGTAGGAAACAATTTTTTATTTTTATTTGAAGGAACTATTAGTGTTGATAGTGTTCTTTTAGATTATTTTTTGTTGTGTGAGTAAAAGGGAAAAAAGCCTAGTTGGCAGTAATGAAAAGGCAAGAGGATGTACAAGGACTTCCGGGATGAAAGCATTTTAATTTGAAGGAATTATAAAGTTGTTTTTTTTAAAAGAATCCTGTTTGTTTTGTTTTTTTCTTCATTCTCTTTGATATCTTGTGTTCTGTGCAGTGGTTCTACAGTATTACTCTGCATGCTAATGACATATGTTTGTTTTATATTATAGAATCTCTCAAACTGCGAAAGATTTACATAGAATCAAGTATATGATTTGACTAATGATGATTTGTGACTAAAAGAGAAAATCAAATGGAAGCTTCGAAGTGAGAGGTACGTATGTGCCAATTTTCTGTACAAAGTTTCAGATTTCTTCTTATAACTATGATTTTATTCATGGTCCATTTTGCTTTGGAATGAAGAATCAGCATTTATTTATTTTATTTATGTAATTTCAATGTTGATAATTTGTATTATTTAATTTCCAATTTTTTCAGGATTGGAATTATTTTGGAGTATTAAGTTTTTTTAAACACGTTTTTGAACTTTTGTGCTTTTCAGAGTTTTTGTGTACGTTAATATTTGTTATTGATCTAAGAAATAGGCTGATAATCACTGTGTCCTTTGACATGTCGCTGTGGTGTATCAGTAATGAGAGATTGTATTACATGAGTGCCCAGCCAACACCTGAAAGGGAATCTGGTCACCCCTAAGGGACAAACTCTACTGCATGTGTCCGAGTTGCCATACAGAATACAGAAGGAATATTACAAAGAAAGCCTTCTTTCTCTCATGGCTATCAGTATAAGTCTTTCCTTGGTTAAAAAAAAAAAATTATATACACAAGGCTACCAAAATCAATGTGCCAATTATTATTGTTGCAGCCCTTCCACCCTTTATAATTTAGGCATTATGGTTCTAAAAATTGCCCAGTTTTTATTTGTGTGATTTTGCGCACAGTCCTTTGCTAGGGTATTTTTTTCTGTTTGTTTTCCCCAAGTTGCATCAGGGTTCATATGGGAAATGGAAAACCTGTTGAATGTTGCTTCCCTCATTCATTTCTTCTGTTGAAAGGTTTTGTGATTAAAATCTGTCTTAAAGCAGATATGTTGTGGCTTTCATTATTTCAGCAAAATGCAGTGGTATTCTGGCCTCACAGATTCTTTTATTGACAAATGCTGGTAGCTGTTCTTTCACATGAAAAAAGTCCCTATTAATACATGAGGGAGATAGCAAGTTGTATGACAGGTATGACTTAAGATGTATGAAAAAAAAGATAAGCACTTCATCCTGCAAACCAAAAGTTATGTGGTCAAGATGGCGTATGGGAGGATGCTGACAATACTTTTTTTTTAGAACTGAGTGCTCTTGAAGGCTTGGCATATATAATATAAGGGTGGAGATGTTACAGGAATATGGAAAAAGATTATTGCTATGTGTTACAGATTTTTGAGGGAATGTGGTTGGTCAGTTTGCTCTAAGTACAGAGACAAAATGTTGGGGGGGGGGGGGGGGGGGGTTTCCATATCAAAGCCTTGAGAAGTGATGTACATTAAAACAAAGAACTGCACCATGAATTGGACTCTCACTACGTCGCATTTGGTTATCACTGTCAAAACATTGCGTCCTCTTTTTCATTTTGCAGAAGGATTTGTATGTTTCCTTTTTTTTCATGTAAAAACAGAATTTGAAAGAAGCTTTACTGATGGCATTGACTTATCGTATGATATTATTTTGTTGACTCTTTAAATGTTACTTTTATAGTGAAACTCCTTTTGTGTATTATTTATAGATTGCAGATTCCTGTATATCCCACAGAACAATTTGTTGTTGATTTGTTATATGATTGTTTTCTTTTTGAAATAATTGAATCTCATTTCTGTGTGCATGACAACGGGCTTTTTGGAGATGGTGTCACATACTGCTGTGATAAGGAGTACTCAGTACATCATGAACTTCAAGTATTTAAGATGATCATTTTGTTGAGGATACACAGGTAGCCATATGTGTCATTACTGTTTATTGGTGTACTTTAAATTATTTTTTTGCCTCTTTAAAGTCTTTCAATGGAAGAGGAAAATGTTCTGCTGCTATAGCTAGGTGTAGCCATGAGCAATGCATTCCTTAAGTTCTAATGTATTAAACTCTCCTTTTCCCTTGAAAACGGAGTTGTGTATTATGCGTTGGAATTCTGAATTTGACACTGAATTTGACAATCTGGGTACAGAATCTCTTGTGTCACAGCTACTTGTCAACCATTATGTACTTGCTATTGTTTTGAAGTGGGGATAAGTCCCTATCAAACTATTCCTTCTTATGTGAATTCTTCCTTTTGCTTCTTTGGCATTTTGCCATGACTTGACTGGACGTCTGGATATTTTTGTGAGTTAGCATTTATCTGAAAGAATTTTCTAATTTATATAAGAGGAGATTTTTATTCTATGAAGTTATGCACTCCTTCAGTACACCAATGCAAAAACTTTGTTTGCCTTTCCTATTTGTCACTCTCTGCGCTAGAAAAGGGGTTGGGGGAGTAGCATTTATATGCAGTGTTTCTTTAATCAAGTATTAAAAGTGTTAGTAGTAATGAATGGTCTGAGAAAAAAGAATTAAAATCTAGGTTCAGATATAATGTTGAGTCTTCTAATTTTGAAGAAATATATAGAAATTGTTGAGTATGAATTAACTACAGCAAGTTTCCAGGAATTTGTCAAATGTTGCTTAGAATTTCATTGAAATTTCATCATTTAAAGTCAGGCATCTTTGAATTCTCAACATCTTCTCCAGATAATTCTACTGAGAATTGATCACACCTTTAATGCGAAATTACAGAACAAAAAAATGTGGATGTGCCCCCAATTTTTTTCTTGAGTTGTTTTGAGACTCCCTTCTCAATAACATGTTGACTGTTCTTATACTTTCCTTGTTTTGGGTGTGTGTAGAAGTTGCTTCTGATGTGACTTTGTTCTGATATTTTTACTTTTTTGGGAATGTGTATTGAAGTTGTCTTTTGATTTGACTTAACCTATTAATAGATCCATGTTTGTCTTATATTGAATTTTGAAAATCTCAGTGGCTTAGGTGTTTTGAGATGTGTAAAGCAAAATGTTTCGATGTGGGTCAAGAGCTGCTTTAATCATGCGTTTTTCTCAACTTTTAAAATTGTGCATGAAAGTTGAAAAATTACTTTTTAAAAAATTAAAATTGTTTCTTAGTTTAGAATAAGCTCTGCCTCAGTTATCCTATTTGATGTCCTGAGTCGTCACAAAACTTTTGAACATTATTTCAAATCATCACTTTGCTTTTCAGGTGGCCACTTACCTTAAACATCAAGCAGGAAAAATATGGGCGAAAGTATATGATTGTAGCAATAGGTACACAGAACGAGGGGATACATTGAAGATTAAATTCTCGTTGCTTTCTGTTATTGTACGTTTATACTGTTATCTTACCATATGAAGTTGAGGTCCCATCCACAGACATCTTTTTTAGAATAGCTTTTTGAGCTGATTTGGTTATTGTATTTTTGCTTTCTTGCTCTCTGAACGTTCAATTGTGACTAATAATATTCAAGGGTGTTATCTTATGTTAACTGAAGCTGTGCTGACAGTTAAATGATGCTCATTTAAGTCATTTAGAGTATTTTTCTTGTTCTACTTGTTCTGTATTACACGGCCAGCTGGTCTTAGCAAAAGCCTGAAAACGAAACATCTGTGTTGTTCCTACCACTGTGAGATGATGATTATTGTCTGTTTGATAGCTAAGCATTGCATGCCATGATGTTTTAAAATAATTTTTCATACAGAAATATGTGTTTGTGCTTTTTGGAAAACATCAGTTGAAGTGGAAAACATGTTTTGTGTCTGTTTATAGAATGAGAGAGCTTGTGCCTGTGTTTAAATGGCAGCTTTCACACATATCTTTTTCACTTTTTGAATAGATCTCATTGTTTGGAATTTTTCTGTTGATACCTTTTCCCTAGACTAGAAATTAAAAACTGTTTCACTTCAACATGAAGATGTCATAGAGTTGAATATTTTTAGATTTTAAAAAATGTGCCGTTGATTGATAATGTTCTTATGGGGATAATTTTTATTACTGTTTTGCCCTTCCTGATAGATATGACCAGTTGCCAAATAGGACAAGTCAAACGTTCTCATCTGATCATGAGCTGATATTATTTTTAATTTAAAGGGGTTATATCTCTTATATTACCAAAAAAAAAAGATG